CAAGGACACTGTGAGCTTTAGTCCTGCCTTAGGCACAAAACCAGCTGGGTGACCTTGGGCCAGTCACTCTCTCTCAGCCCTAGGAAGCAGCCAAGGGCAAGCCACTTGTGAAAAATCTTGCCAAGAAAACTTCAGGGAGTTGTCCAGGCAGTCGCCAGGAGTCAACACTGACTTGAAGGCACACACACACACAAAAAACAAACAAAAAAACCCTCACCCCACTCCTTCTTTTCTTCTGAATAATAAAGATATTCCCTCAGGGTCTAGGACAGTTTTTGAAGGACTGCCTTTCAAATCTGAATCATCTTTGTGATGCCCAGATTGCAATCTGACTAGTGAATGGAGTGGCGCAATGTTATCTGCTCTGATGTTTCTCCCCTTCTTGTCACTTCTGAATCTTTCAACTGTGATGCATCTGAACCTTCCACATTCATGAGATAAGACAAGGTCAGTACTAGTCCATGGGTACATAAGAGATCATTTGCTGTCTTGGTTCCATGTAAAAGAGATGGAATATAAATATTACATAAATGGTATATTCACAAACAAATAACTGAGCACTTCACAAGAAGCACAGTGTTCAGAAATATTTTTGAGCACCGAGTAGTTTTCTATCTTCAGTGCTCAGGAACAGAACCTTTTGGAAAAATCAGAAATACAGTACATTATTTTGCACGCATTATTTTTCTTCAAAGTATGTATTTCTAATCTAAGTCATCACATTTTTGAATCAAGAACCATGTCAGAGAAGTGCAAAATCAGATGAATAGATCTACCCCAATCTGCATATTAGTCCAGGTGGTGCATGGCAGGTGAGCTTGCATTAGAATTTGCAAAACAACTAATTCCTTAATTAGTTCCTCCTGATGCAAAGATTTATCAAAACCCCCAAATTGGGGGGAGGGGAGGGCATCTGGATCAGGAGGATTTCAGAAATATTTCTGCTTTCCCCTTGGTCTTCCAATATGTAAATTAGATGATGCTCATAACAATTTTGAGATCTCTGGACAGGATGTTCTTCAGTTCTTCGTCAGTATAATGCCTTTCTGTATAGCTGTTACCTCTGTTAACTGTTATATAATTATAGTCATCATGATAGAAGCAGCTGAAGAAGAATGCATTTAAGCAGCATCACCTGTTGCAATCACACAACTGTTCCACTTTTAATGGAACACATAATGCTACTGATTTGGAATTTGGCATTTTGTAGTAGATCTTTGTAACTGTTTGTTACTTGGCACACTTTGCCTCCTGGAGAAATTTGACTGAACCAAAATTATGCCCTGTAAAATGGAAAAAGGAATGTCTTTTAACATGTAAAAAAAAAAAATGAAAAAATAAAAAGCATACAGATTGCATCTATGTGTTTGAGTGCATTGAGAAGCTGAATACATCATTCATTAGTAGCACCCCATTTCATGTAGGTGCTGAAAGCTGTGTAATATGCCAATTTTGTTCCGCTTACATGACATTTCAAGGTAGAAATCCTAAGTTTAAAACAAATCACTTGATCAGCAGAAGAATGTTTGAAAAGAATGCAAATGAAAAGAGGACAAAGAACAAGGGAAATTGTGTACAAATGCAAAATGGGTAAAACTGCCAGGCTGACAGGGAAGTCAATTAGAATTATGTTTGTCAGCTTTGAAAACCATTAGAATCTTCTCTGGCAAAGCTGAGAGAACCTGCTATCATCACAAATGATTGTAAGGGCACATCTGAACAGCTCTAATTCTGACAATTGGTGGAGCTGTTTCAAAATTTCGGTCACCAGGTTTAAATATGCAGGTTTAAAGATCCCAACTCTCTACATAAAATCAACAGCAGAATAACTTAAACCAGCATTGAGTGTTATATTGGTAAGGAAAGTTATTGTGATCACTTGAGAATCACAGCAGAAACAGACCTGTCTTTCCTTAGATATTGCTCAACACTTCTGGTTATATGTCATTGTGTAAACCCAGAAGAAAGTACATTTATGGTCTTTTTATGCATCAAACTGTAGTCCGATTTAACTACATTGGGCCCATTGAAATGATGAACAGAAGTTACACTATACAGAAAATCAAATTATTTCCGTGACGATTTAGCAAAGTTGTCTAATCCCAAATTATCCTTCAATTCATCCTATTTTATCTGATGTAAAAGTAAACATTTGGAACAAAATACAATTTATGTTGAGGCCAAACAATTCAATCAGTTGGATTCAGAAAGTATAGAAACTATTAATGAGGTTACTCGTGAGACATCAGGTCGGGTTTATTCCTGTTCTCATATGGCAAGCTAACTTTAATATATGTTGCCTAAATAGGGCTTTGGTCACTGAGGGCAAATTATTCAAAGCGAGGGCAATGCCAAATTGCCAGTTTTGGAAAGATTGTCTTCAGCCATAAAATCTCATAGCCAAAACTGATTGTCCACGTGTTTGGAGCAGCACAGCTCCTCAGCTGCCTTCTTGAGGGAGCTCACCAGGACACTGTTGTTGTTATGAGCCTACAGTCAGGACTAGATATCGTACATTATTTTGAAAGTCTTTTTTCCGTGGTGCTTGCTTCATGAAAGCAAGAAATTCTCTTTCTCTCTCAATTTATAAAAAAGAGGGGCAGTTGAGTGGAGGGGAAAAAAAAAAAAAGAACATTGCCCCCTCCCTTCTTGGTTTTGGGAACTGTATTTTTAGCATCATGAAATACAGCCTACCTAGGTGGCAACCTTGGCTGATCTAGGTGGCTAAGGATGGGTCAGCTCTATTTAGCGCTTGCATACCAGACTATCTGGGAAATCTGAGGCTGTAGGCTAAGCTGGGAAGTTGGAAAAATATCCTGGAAGAAGACAGGGGCAAAGGAACGCTCTGTCACTGCCAAGAATGTATTCCTATAAATCACCAGGAATCCATCTTGACTCAAAGGTGACTTTTGACTATAAATATTCTCCATCCTTTTTTTAAAATCTGTGTGCAGAATGTAATATCCATAACTGCCAAAATAGAAGTCTGCTAAATAGTCTCGTGTTCAGGATATAACTTCATTTAACCAGGAGACAGGTGGCAATAACCAATGAGTCTTCAACCTGAACTTGGCTAACGCTTATAGTTTCTGGAAGATTTGCTTGTTTGATAGCATGCTTATTTACGTGGGCACCCAACTTGCCATTGGGATTCTGGCTAGGTAAAATAGGGTTAAACAGAAAGCAACAAACAAATAATAAGAGTAAAAACAATGAAAGCCATGGTACAACTGAGGCCAAACTGCAATCATATTTACAATCACAAACCACTGCAAGATGGAAGCTGTGGTATGGTAGTGATGGGAAATAATAGCAACAGCTATAAAACATTCATTAAGTGTATGGCTCCTTAAAGGAAGCTCCTGGTTTCTTTATTTTTAAAACCTCTTATCGTGGAGGCTAAGGGTTCACTATAAACAGAAAAACAATTTAAATATAGCAGTGAATAAAAACCATTATACAATTTCCTTTATTAAAAATATGAATATAAAGAACAACAAGAAAATAAAACATTTAAGGGTTCATTTTACTGGAGAGTATACTTATAATGAAAGTGAGAAACTCGTTCAGAATCGGGGCCCATTCCGCAGGGGCTGCTGCGTGTCTTTTAGAAGCTTGCCATTTCCTTTCCCTCTGCCCTTAGATCTTTTCTTATACTTATAGCTTTTCCTTTACTTCTTTTCATATTCTCTTCTCCTTTTCCCTAATCCTCTCCTAAGAATGATGGTTGGCTGCCAACTGTCTTAAAAACTCTTTTCCTATTGGGTATGTCCCACATCAATCTTCGCTGCCCTGAATACTTTGCTTCCTGTATTCTCTTTTCTTTTTCTTCCACTTGTCTTGTCTCACCCGTTGGATCATCATCAAGCATCATTATCATTTCTGAAAGCACATAAACATGTATACATTTATCACTTCAAAGAGACACAGTGTAAGGAAATAAAGAAAACGTTGAAGACAAATTTTTGCCATGGTGATGGCACTGGGTAGCCAAGTCTCTGTCCTCCCATATTCTCTTCACAGAACAATTCTGAGAATAAAATAGCATAACTCTTTTCCTTAAATAGAAAACAGGACATGGTAAATTCCACCTGTCTTAGCCACAGGGGTTTAATTTCTAAAACTATAGAAGTATTTTGAGGAAAGGATGGGCCTAGGCTGGCTTGCCCAACTACTATGCCCTGCAGATTCTGAATCTACTATGCCCTTCAATTCTCTGTGTGGAGATTAGAATAGAAAAAAGGGAAATACAAAATGTAAGCATGGACTTGTTAGATTAAGACAAGAGCTCAGCATCATCTTTCTAAGAAGTACCAACTGTGAGGGCTGAACCTAGCATGGTAGAAACTACTGGTGTCTAAGCTAGAAAGAACATTATATGAGCCTGTCTGAGTCACCAGGTCTGCCAAGCAAACCACCAACTATCTAACACAGATAGGAGGGAAGAAAAAGGAAATATTTAAATTGTGGAGGGGGGGGAGGGAGGCTCTGACTTCTTTGCATTGCAATGAGCAATCAGCCAGTTTATTTAAGGGTTCATCCTTGTCTGCACTACATTCTAATCTAGCCATGTTGTCTAAGAGTCTTCTGCCTTGACAAGCCAAGAACTGAACAAGGGATTAAGCATCTAGAGACCTATGATTGACTGCTGAATTCCCTCATGTCAAGCCTGACACCAACCATGTATAAAAAGTTCATATACAGAACACGAGCATAAACAGCTTTTGTTTTCCATTGACGAGTATTCAGAACTCTTAAACCATAACAAACCCTGGTTCCAGTTAAGCTAACATGTGGTTCTTCTTGTACTTCCGTTTATAATCTTCACCTTAGTAATCTTTATATTTGAAGGTAAACTAAAATATTTAGCATTTAGTCATTTAAAATGTCAGAAACATTATAAATATACTAGGGTTCTTTTTTTTTTTTTTTAACTTTAATGGTGGAAATGCAGGTTCAAGACTTGAGCACTGACTTAATTTCTTTTACCTGTTTGTTAGGACCTGTGTCCACAACAACCGTCATAGACAACAAGAACGGAACAGTTTCTGTGCCGCATATGAAAATGTCCAAGAGATCAGTATCAGAAGATTTTGCAACAACCTTCAGTTCGCCTGCAGCGTGGCTCCTTGTCGTTGCTCTAATCATTACCTGGTCAGCCGTGGCGATTGTCATGTTTGACTTGGTGGATTACAAAACCCTGGCAGGTAAGATGCATATATGCTACGAAAGATAAGGTATTCATGCATGCAGCGAATCCTGGTGAGAAGTTTCATCTGGAAACCACTAAATCATCCTTTTCCACAAACTGAGTTACAAACTAAACATGATACATTAATGTTGATTTTAATTTTAAAATATCCAGGATACCCAGTTCCTGTGCTGCACAGATGGATTCAAACTAGGGAAGGGAGATGGGTTCTATCAACTGTGTGTTGCCAATTCTGTCCCCACTGGGGACAGTACAGTTTTCTCACTGCTTCTGCTGAAAAGGGATTTTGCATGGCTGTACTTTTTATTGTTTTTATTGTTTTATTATTTCACATGACTCATGCAAGATTCCTGCAGCTATCACCCTGACCAGGCAATGCTCCTGCAACTGTAGTTGCATCACAGTTCCTTCTGTCTCCCTTGGTACAGGATGCCATTGTGCTCACTCCATTTTGGCTTTGTTGGCACCAGATGCCACAGGGTTGCTATTATACATGGGCAGATCATAACTGCACAAATTCTGAAGTCCGCTCTAAGATAGGCATTCTTTATGGTTCCTCAAAAGCTACTGCAAGGGTACAGGTCACCACAAGGTCAGAACTATTAAAGTTCCGGAAGTCCCTCAAGACCTATGTCATCAGGCCTGGGACTCCCAGGGGATGGGTGACATTTTAAGACAGCTCCATCATTGCAGGTAACACTGTCTCCTGTGCCTCTGCTTTGTATATTTTACTAATGATTGTTTTTTACTTTCAATTATGATGAGTGTTTTTATACATTTATTGTTTTATTTAATTCTTGTACGCTGTCCAGAGTCACTTTTTGTTAGATGGGCAGCCATATAAATTTGATAAATAGATTCCTTTGTCATGTGCTGCCAACATTTTCATTCCCCAGTCAGAGAACAAACTCACTCATTATTGATTTCTTCCTCCTGTTTCACTCCACACACCCCACTTGTCAGGTAGGTTATTTTTGAACACAAACATAGCACACTTTTAGAAAAGTGCTATACTGGCATTGAGAAACTGCCCAATTAACTGATAACTGGCACTGAGGAAGGGTTGTAAGAAGCACTGGAAAAGATCCCTCTTATTTTACCCTGTCCTCCCCTTAGCGTCTTCCATCTGTTAGTTGGGCAACTTGACAAGGGGCTACTAGAACCCCATTCTAAGCAGCCATTTTAGCTCACCCTCCACCCCACCTCATGTTAGGAAGAGGCATTGGTGGTGGTTTTCTCACTAGCCGATGACACTTGGTGGTAGGTAAATGGAGCCTGGGAATCCACCCAACCCGTTTCTTAACTTGGCCTACAATAGGTAAATATAGATAGGTAAATATATTTACCTATTGGCCTACAATAGGTAAATATAGGTTCACTGGCCTTATTACTGAGCCAGAATAAGGATTTACAATAGAGGCAGCAAATGTTATGCTGACATATTTTTCTGCTGATCTAAGGACTGTTGGACAGCACTTTAGCTCAGCCATGAGAAAGAGCTCTACATGTGTAGATTGTTGCCAAAGTCACTAATATTACCTCAATGCTGTTGCCAAAGTGGTAAGACAGAATTCAACAAGCTTATTGTATCCAGGTTTACCTGAAACTGGAGGATAACAGTGATTCCACAACTTTTTAAAAACAGACACAAAAGAACTCAATATACTATATACAATTATCAAACATTGCTCACATGTCTCACATGAGCAGGTATGTATGCACAGATCTATTTGTTTTTCTACATCATTTAGATAACTGTAGGTACAATATAATAATTACTCATGAATATTTCTAGTTAATTCACTGGTCAAATTAAAAAGAATGTATCAGTGGATTATACCTTTACATTCACTCATCTTTATTAAGCCAAGGTTCTAATTTCTTTGGAATTGTTAAGTAACAGAGAATTTACTTTCTTCATGCACACACATGATAACCAATGGATATGGAATGGGATAGGTTTTTTATAGAATAGGATAGATTGACTTAAGTTGAAAAGTTCATATTATATATATCCATCTCTTAAATACAATTAATAAAATAAGTTTTTAAGGAAAATCATTTGTGGAAAATAATGTATATCTTTTTAGATTGTCATGTAGATTTTGTTGAAATACTTTTGAAAATTCAGTTTAATGAAAAGCATTTCCTATCTTCAATATCTGACAAAAATTAGTTTAATTCACACATATACAGTAACAGTTTGCCATTATTAGCAAAGAAGACATCTAATTGCCTGCATAAATTACTCTCATTTGCAGTTATTTTATTGCATTAAATATATTGCCCTATTCACATATAATTGAAAAAATACTAAACAAATCTTTGTAGCCTATCCAAACCATTAAAATATTATTCATAATTATTTAGCAAGCACAGAAATGAACTGGAGACCAAAATTTAATCCTCAGTGGTCTCATTAAGATTGGAAAGTGAAGAGAAATAATTTGCACAGACAAAACTGTGAGACACTTAATGTAAAACAATTATAATTAGGGCTCAGCTGAATTTTGCAGATTTCAGGATTGTTTGGAAATTTGCATATTCAGCAAGAAATTATCCTCTGTCACATAGTGGAACAACACCCAGATGTTTTTCTATATATATTATAAGTTCAGGATCTTATATCAGGAAGGGACCAGATGAAGACTTCTGAAGTATGTTTATTTTATAGAATTTAGAAGCCCAGTCTGTCTAAATTCCACCCAAAACACAGGAATGGACAAATCTGTCAATTTCAGTTTCAACCAATTTGTTTTAGCTTCACATAAGCTCAGTTTAGTCTGGTCTTGTGTCAACCTGTGTTTTTGTGTTTTAAATCAGAATTCAGAAGGAAAATCATACACATTTCTCTAAATGTTAGATGTGCAGATCATCTACTCAGAATCCTGTGATCATACCACAGAAATTTAGCAGCAAAGTGCTTGATTTTTTAAACATTTTTTTTAAAATATAAAAGTGCAATGGAGAACAAAAGGTCTCCTATTTCTATCCTTAAAACTCACTATCTCACATAGCACCAACATTGTGTTACAGATATGTGGGCATTGTACTACTGAATTTTATTGACCACAATTTTAGGTGATAGGCAAGGCAGGGACTTTAAGGGTGGAAATGGGACTGGCTTGCCTTTTGGAGGCCATCTGTTCTCATTTCCACCTTTTCTGCTGTAGAAACCAAAACAAGAAAAAAGGGACCAAAACAATTGGTCCTTCTCCTTCCAGAAGACCTCCTGAAGTCCTCCAACTGGTGAGAGATACAGATTGTAGCTCTGTATCAGAGGAAGTTGCCCATTCCTGTCTTAACATATGTTTTTGCATGAACCTCTCCTAGTATACACAGTATTTTTAACTAATTCCATACTTGTCCAATGTTCATTTATTTTATATTATTTACAATGTTTGTAGACCACCCAAATCAAGAGATTCTGTACAACAAGGTAGGAAAAAATAAAAACAACAGGTTAAAACACAGCAATACATAAATTACAAGAAGAACTCAAGGACCCAAAGGATGATAGAATAAAACAAGTGTAATTGTTATGTGCTGCATATACTTAGGAGGCACATTCCAGAGCTTGTGGGCACTACAGAAAAAGCCAACTGCCTAGGCCAAGTAAGGTGGAGTTCCCATAGAAGGAGGGCGCTCACCAGGTCCTCTCAAGTTGTTCAGACTAAAATCAATTCTGGGAAGGCCGGTCTTAATATAACCCAGTGCTATGCCACATAGGGCTTATTTTATTTATATTTTCCTAATATGTGCATTTTTGAAGGCACATTTACTTACATATTCAGTTTTGGGTGCATTTTTAAATTGCAGAATGCTCTGAAAATACTGGAAAGTGCAGATTCCAGTTCTTTGATGAGCCATACGTTCTAGTCCATATATGGCTTATCAAAAAGCCAATCAGATAAATGTGAATTAAAAACATTGTTCTACCGTCCTTATTTATCTGGACTAAACTTTAAATACCATCCTTTCCTATCTGGTTTGGGCAATCTATCTTTTTTCCCTCTCTCTGCTTCTTAAGAGTTATATTCCTCAAACTTGTAATCATGGGGTGGGGCTGATAAACAAGCAGCAGGTTTAACAAGAGTCTAGAATGGTGAATCCCTTAGCAATGCCCATAGCAAACTGTGATGTTGCCAATGCCTCCCTCTTCCTCACCCCAACATGGGGTGAAGTATCATCAGTGTGATAATCATACCCAGCTTTACGTCACTGCCTCTGGCTGACCAAGTGATGGAGTGGAGATTCTGTCTTGGTGTCTGGGGTGGTGGGGTTCTGGATGGGGAAGAATAACCCTGGCAAGACTGTGTGGCATTGGGTTTCCTGGATCCAAGGATTTGCCACTTCTTGTTCTGGATGGGACTGCACTGTCCCAAACTGAACCAAGTACAACCTGGAGGTTCTTCTAGACTCATGGCTCCTGTTCAAGGAAGAGATGATAACTGTGGCCAGGAGGGCTTTTATACAACTTCATCTTGTGCACTGGTTGAGTCCTTTCCTGGACTGGGAGGCTCTGTTCACGGTCACTCATACCATAGTCACTCCCAAGTGGATTACTGCAATGTGCTCTACATGGGGCTGCTATTGAAGAGTGTCTGAAAGCTGCAGCTGATGCAGAATACAGCAGTCCAGGCAGTTATTATTGTACCTCAGTGTGTGCATATACAGTGGTACCTCGGTTCACGAATGCTTCTGTTCACGAACAATTCGGTTCACAAACAGCTCCGTTCACAAAATTTTGCCTCCGTTCGCGAACGCTGGATCGGGTTACAAACAGGATCCGCGGCCATTTTCCCTCCCGTGACACGTGGTTGCGGCTTCCTGTAGGGAGGGGGACTCTCCCTCCAAGCAATAGCCACCTCCCCACCTGCCTTCCTGTCCTCCACGCCAGAAGTCGTGTCGAGCAAGGTTAGCTTTCTCTCTCTTCGTACTGTACTTTGTGTCATATTTTTGCGGTTAAAAAAAAAAACCACATATGGTTCAGAA